GTAAAAGTAGTAATTATTCCAACAAGACCACTATTCATTAACAGTAAAGGCAAGTCACCATCCATCTCGTCCTTCCACAGTAAAGCAATCAATCACCCAAGTCTCTTTTCCAAGTCTATATGAAGAAGACTTAGTTGGAGAAGACTTCAAGCTCAATTTTACATTTTCTTAGTAAAAAATTTCTTTCAGTTCACACTGTACCCAAAGAAATCAAAATTGTAAACACTTTTAATTTTCAAATGTCAATCCTATATGCTCATCAAAGATGGGTGTTCCATCTTTGTCTTTTTTTTACTGCATTTTTAATTTCGTTTCTTGATTGTTCAGTGAGATGTTTTCACACCAGGAATGGAGCATTCCTGTAAATCTAGTGACCAAAAGGTTCACAACTTGAGTTTGACTGAGGTTATGATTGGTAATATAACTATTAGCAACCATGGAGATATGTTGTAATTTGTTCAAAAGTTCTAGCTTCCAGCCACTTTATTACCACCACCAGTAAAACAAGAATCAAGCCCAAATTCTTCATCGGCCTTAGCCTTTACCAATCGTTTCACTCCCTTAGCTTCTACAATAGGAAACCTTAGGCCCAATTACCAATCATCACATCCCAATTACCAAATGGCATTAATCAGTCAATATGATCCTTATTCAACCCCAACATACCAATCATCATCATCCCAACCAATTAGTTATATCAAAACATCACCATACGTCAAGAAATATCCCAGTGAATATCTTTTCAGTATCCCTTTCAATCATAATCAAGAACAAGCACTAGAAAAATTAGCCAAAACAGTTTTTCTACCCAATTTCCATTATCATCCTACAACACCACATAAAACACTGAAATACTATCAAGCCATCTTTAGTGAAACCGAGTCCATTTCAATCAAACTTGTCTATAGCAAAACCCATGAAAACAAAATCCCCTACCATTCTCTTTACATTGGAAAAATTTTAACCGAATTAGATTGGGGAATCCCCTTTTACAAAAGCAAACCCCTTCACACCCAATATGTTCAAATTCCTAATAACCATTACAATTACTTTGATTACATTTATGCATGGACTAACATCTTTCTCTATCAAACAGAAGATTTTAGTCATTCATGGTTCATTAATTTTGACAAAAGTTTCAAATTAAATTTTCCTACATGGTTCCCTAAATGGTAGTCTACTTATGGCCCAACAACCATTCTCCTACCAGAAGAGCTTATGCAAGTCCTCTCTGCCAATTTCCAACACAAATTTGACAGAAGCCAATTCAACTATAGAATTACACTTCTCCTAGTTTTCATGACCAAATACAAAGTCCCGTGATCATGAAGTGTTATTATTAAGTCCAAACCTATGAAGTCAATAACATCATATCAGTCAAGTGGTGGGATAAATTCAACCATCAGTCAGGTCCTCACATAATTTCCCATCACTCCATCTCCAGTAATTCCAACACAACTAGCACAACCATATTTGCCAGCCATCCCGGAACATTATCGGACATTAGTCCATCATCTTCACTTAAAGGAACAACCAAGTCATCCAAGTCAACTAGCTCAAAAAGCAAAGAAATGGCCACCCAACTCAAAAACCTAGCTTAACAATTACTTGCAGAAGTAGAGATGCTCCATTCTAAAGAAGAAGAAGTCGCAGACTCCGAATCTTCAGATGCATCTTCATAGCAACCAGCCAACTCAGCAAGCCAAAAAACACAGTCAGTCAAATAGGCCGATTACTAGGATTCCCAATACCCTTTTGCATACAACCATGTGAACATAGTTAATCACCATGTGAAAATTAAAGTCATCAAGACAAGTCATGAAGACAATTGCCATCTTTTCAAAGTCACCATGTGAAGCTAAAGTCACCATGTGAAGTTTTCAAACAAAGTTCCATCAATAATTCTGACAAAGCAATGAATCACTCAGTCACTTGCACATTCCATAGTAAAAGTAGCAATTATTCCAACAAAGACCACTATTCATCAACAAAAAAAGCAAGTTACCATCCATCCCGTGCTTCCATAGTAAATCAATCAATCATCCAAGTCTCTTTTCCACTTCTTTAAGAAGATGTATCCGGGGAAGAAGAAACGAAGCTCAATTTTACATTTTCTCAATGAAAAACTTTCTTTGAGTTCACACCGTACCCAAAGAAATCAAAATTGTAAACATTTTTAATTTTCAAACGTCAAGGATGCCTGCGTGCACCAATATCCTTTTCACCAATCAATTTCTAATTTGCTGACCCAATCGTCAGTAAATTAATTGTAAGTTCCAATTTAAGTTTTGTAATATAACTTATTTTCAAATTATATTTGCATCATAATTTTGAATTCATTATTTTCATTATGAAGAATATTTTCATAACAACTAATTTTGAATGGCATAAAATCCTTACTCACAGTCAATTCATCGAATATCTCAAATTCAAGGTAAACGCAGACCAATCATTTGTTCAATTCTTTCTATTTGTTTATAACAGTTGATTTCATGGCATACTTAATCTTGGTTATCCTCCACATCAAATTTCCAATTATTCAATTAACAGTTCATTCAATTCTAATCATCATTGCCCTTGGTTCAATTGCCCTCATCGTTATTTTATATATATATATATATATATATATATATATATAGTGCTGATGAAGAATCTTGATTTTGTGGCGTTTAATTGCATGGCTGAGGTCAATTTCACAATCGCATATTCAATTTTAAGGCACAAGTCCAATTTCAATCTGAATTGCAATTAATTGCAGTGATCATTATAAGTAAGCTCAGATTAGAAAATCCCTTCTCTTTCTTTTCCTTTGTAAATGTAAGATAGTCATATGATACGGCTATGGAGTAATGCGATCTTAGAGACGAAATTCGATAATATTTCTGATTGATTATGTATGAATTAATTAACAAATATTTCTGATAAATGAAGATGAAATTTAGACAAGTAGGCTAGCATATTTTAATAAGACCATTATGTCTAAATCCTTCAATATGTGTATCTCCTTATACCTACGGAGCACAATAGATTTTTGTTCTACAACCTATGTAGAACTCTGATTAGGTTGAGATATCACGTTGCTCAGCCCAAAATCAGCGATCTTAAGATATTCGTTGGTATTCAAAAGAAAATTTTAAGGCCTTATGTCTCTATAAAAGACATTATGTTCATAACAGCGCTTCATAATAGATACCTACTACCAAATAAACGAAGGAAGGAATAGCCTTGTGTGATATGCAATAAGTTGAGTGAGTTCCTAATCAATTATGCTTCAAGCATCCTTTAACCGTGAAGTTACTTCTCTACAGACAACAATAAAGTTGGTTTGTAACATCTTGTCTTTGCCAATTCCTTCTGATTCTGCAAATCTTTCCACAGACAAAGTGAACACCCAAAACACCTTTGAAGGGAAAATGCTTAGCAAAATTATTCTTGTTGGACATCATAAATATGGTACAAGCACTATATTTAAACAGGTAAGACATTTGTAGAGGGAATAACCCGATTCTAATCTCTTAATATTATTAAGCTCATTACCGAACTGGTGCATTCCTATTTCATAACATCAGGGTTAGTAAAATTTGTTTATTCTACAAAGCTATAGATGATAGTAATTATTGGTGAAACTTGACAGATGAACTAGTATTGACATAACTTGAAGTTTTCAAGAAACTTTTCCTAATTTTAATTTGTATATTTGTACCTGTAAAAAGTTGATGGTTTGTGCACATCGGAAATGTGTAAACATACATACATACATATATATATATATATGTATGTAAGTATGTATTTTTCTCAATGCACTACTACATAATCCGCATGTAATTATGTATAGTGCATCGTCTCATCAAATGGCATAATGTGCATGGAGGATCTTAGAATAGTCATATGGTTGTTTTGGTACTACTAGCTGAGAGATATCATTAGGAAGACAACAACATCCTCTACAAATTGAACATGTTCAAATCTGCTCGTCCTATGCTTTGTCTATTGAATCTTGTTGAACTAAGGCACAAATTTGATACTTTCTTGTGTTGTTAAATTCTAGGTGACAAATGTTTTTGATAGACATGCTTGCATGCATAAACATCAAAGGATAATTAAACTAAATATCAGATAACCCAATCACAACTGGTTCATACTCGTAGGAAAGAAATGAAATTGCAAATCGGACAGAAGAAACAGAAAACACAAGCACCCACCATAGATTTGAGCTTATAACTACAACAAAATTGGTCTTTTGCAGCGCACAAAGAATGCCATAAACTGTCATTCACTGCACTGTCACATCCCGGCCCGGGGTGGATCACTTCCCGGGCTCGCTCCACCACCGTAGCATGATATTGTCCGCTTTAGGCTTACCATTCCCTCACGGTTTTATTTTTGGGAACTCACGAGCAACTTCCCAGTGGGTCACCCATCATGGGATTGCTCTAGCCCCCTTCTCGCTTAACTTTGGAGTTCCTACGGAACCCGAAGCCAGTGAGCTCCCAAAAGGTCCCGTGCTAGGTAGGGATGGGAATATACATATAAAGATCACTCCCCTGGGCGATGTGGGATGTCACAGCGCGATCCCCCAAGCAGTAAAAGCCCCTGTCATAAAAGAAGTTTTGTCAAATACAATGTTCTCTAGTAGCTGTAAATAATTTAAGCAAAACACGTTGTAAATGCTCTTTAAGGCATGCCTTACGCGCCTTAATTGGTATTAGATATGGTGTTAATAGAGTGCCGTAATACTGCAAAAGAAATTACGGCATACATGTGTGACGTAATTTATATTTGATACGGTGCTTGTTGAGTGTCGTAATACTGTGAAAGCAATTACAACACACATTGTACATCATAAAAAAAGATTACCATCAACAATTACTACTAATTTTGTAGCTATAATTTACATTTATTTTATTTTTATTTTTAACAATTCATTTTAGACAAACCTAACTTCATAACATCTAAATTAATATTGTAAGGAACACAATAGAAAAATAACAACAATCACCACAAACACATTAAATTCCAAATACTTAAATTAATTAGTAGAAATTGTCAATTAAAGTACAATTGGAAGTTTTGACACAAACAAAAATGCTTTGTTCCTCTTTACAAATGATGCACATCCTAAAGTTGACAGAGGAAACTAATCATGACTACAAAGTAGCATCAGCCCCAAAAAAGCAATCTCCCAAGCTTATCCTCCATGTCCATTGTCCATAGAGCATCCAATTTGATCACAAAAGAGCACCATACAAACAAACACAAGGCAATTCCTTAAGAAGTGCTAGGTTAATTCTCAAATATGTAGGACCAAAATATATAAACTAGTAAGTGATAGAAAAACAAAGCAATTCCTTAGTTACTATAGTTTGTAACTAGTAGGGGAATCAAATTTAGTTGCACAATGCTGCTTGCTTATGTCTAGCATTAAACATGATCAAACTACTCAGACATCCAAGAAAATGCAAAGGACATCATCCATGTATGTAGAATTAATACAAGGCACAAAAAACCAAAATATACAATATATTCCTAGCATAATCAAACTTACTTGTAGAAAGCCCCTTGCTCAGAGTGTTCTGCATAACAGAAGGGCAAAATATACAATATTCACAGCATCAGTTGAATGGGAGATTAACACAAGTTAGCAACCAACAAGAAAACATAATAAAGGGACAAATTATACGATATACCAGAAATAAAATTCACCATCACTAGCCTCATAAACAAGAGCAATTACATTACATTTAACCCCACACCTGCAATAAAAATAACAAGACTAAGTTAGTATTATTATTTTTGATAAACTAGCACTAGCCAAATTCAAGCCCACATCTAAGCCAAACATAGGACTCGCAATACAAAAGCTCCCAAATAGTACCAGACTTTTGCAATGTGCAAGGGACATTCCAAAACAATTAAACCACAATCAATATCCCTACAATTAATTTATCCAAACCCTAAATCTAACAATTTTAACAATTATTATAACATCAATTGAGAAAGTAATTGAGACAAAACTTAGAGGTCGTAGAGAGAGATGAAAGGAAGAGTGTTCCCTTGCTGGGGATTCTAAAAGAAGATCTGGGTTGGGATCTGAGTTCCTCCCAAATTATCACTTTATATTTGAGTGAAAGAGTTGTATGATATTTGGTTAAAAACTGAAGTTATAGAAGAAAATGTTTGAAGATATATCCCAAACCTATACAGAGTCGATTCTTCCATAAGTACGAAACCATCCACAAAAATCAACATATAAGTAATTCAAATTACAAAATTCCAAAAACTCTACTAGTACCCAAATTACAAAATCCCATCAGTACAAGTGAAATAAAAAAGCCATGTCAAGCATCTCAATATGAAAATTTACCTATAATGGCATTTACTGCAAATGAACGAAAAAGGGTACCCGAAATCAGCAGAGAAACAAAAGGCATATGCAGAGGGTTTTGGTGATGAATGCACTGCCAAGAAAAAAATCACTACAAGAAAACACAATTTTTGTGGCGACAAACATTCTTCACATAAATATGAAAATTCGTCACATTTGACTATATGTGGTATATGACATACAAAGAAGATTTAGTTAACTAGACATTTGTACAATTTGGAAAGTTCCAAAATCCCATACTTGTAATATATAAAGTGATATATTTTAGTTGTACATATTCATTCAAATTTTCATAAACACTATATAAATTGCTTTCAGCTCTAGTACTCTTGTAGCCATTCTCAAATTTTACCAATTTAAAATGCATAATCAAAAGCAATGAGAAGCATAAGGAATGCAAACAATATATGCATATGGTTATGACTAATGTTAACAAAATACTTGTAAAACACCCCTATATTATTATTGTACGGTAACATTATATAGATTATCAGAGCTTTATCACAAAATCAACTCTTAATTAAAAAATTGTTTTTTAACTATATCAGAAAACATCGGTATCTAACTTGGACTTATACAAGAAAATACATACCAAAAGGAGTGTAGTAGCCTAAACATTATCACATAACCACTCCAAATGACTCTTTGGTCTCCCATTCAACATTAGATCATTTGGAAGTTTACCTCGTCCTCTCACAAGTGTTTCACATGACAAGTAGTGCTGATGTAACCGATGCCTAAATTGTGAGTACAACTTCGCCATCTTCTTTTCAATATATTCAATCATCTTTCGGATGGGATAGGTCTACTACAAATAATACCTATTATTGAACATAAATATGTGCAAGTGTTTGAAATTACTATAAAAAAACTAAATTAAATTCAGACTCACAAGCAACTTGAAGGTAAATCTACATCAGAGCTTGAGCACCTTCAATCCGGAAAATCATGAAAGTATAAGAATTTCATATATGTATATACAAAGGTAAATCTACATCAAAACATAATTAGATTAGAGCATAATATAGAAATTTTAAAAGCTGACTTATCAAATTATAGGCGTTCAATCACTTTACTAGTTTCAACTTCCTATCCTCGCAACAAAACATTTTCTATTAAACACTAATATCTCAACTTTTGGTTGTACAGCACAAACTACAAATCACAAGGCATAACACATTTCTGCAACAACGTTCATCATAACAGAAGGAAGGGAAAATGACGAGCACCACCAAATTGGGAAGCCAAAAATGTTTACTTGTTATAATTCCAAGTCAACAAAACGATTTAGTATCAATTCAATTGTTGAACCATATGATTTTCTAGTATTAGTCTTGTGCCTTTCAAGGTTGACCCAATTAAACACCACACATAAATCATTATATATCAAAAGATGGTGCCTTTGTCTTGATATTCTTTTACAAGATGATATCCTAAACTACAGAATGTGAAATTCGAACTTAGAGTGCAAATGGGTGAGTACACTACCTTACTCAACTTGCATACCTCATATTTGGTCTTTGGTATTTGGTGACGAGGAATTGAGGCAAAGAAATAGTAGCAAATTAAAACTAAATTTCACATTCTATGGACCTGGTTAACTAAGAACATCTCACATACTAAACCGACTTCTATAAATTTATCTACCACATCGGCCTTCTTCAAAATAAATACACAATCACAATAAATTGGTTCCTTTTATTCTTTCTACAAATTCACCCTATTATTTTCGAAGAGAAAGGAAATTGATAACTGGGTGTCTACTCAAAACAAGCTAAATTAACTCAAATACCACAAAACTATAACCCAAAACAAGCACTAAGCAGTGATTTGGACAAAAATCTAACTAAATTGACTCAAAACATGAACTAAAGAGAAGTTTGGATGAAATTTAAAACTAAAAAGACTCAAAATACTCAATGGGGGTTGTTTTGATGAATTTAAACTAAAACTAAGTAATTGCAGAAACAAATTAAGTTTACGCGAAATTGAATGAATTAAAGGGGTGAAAGGCTAGCTAGAAGGTTCATCTCCACACATGACACATATGCATACAAATCGATTTCCAGTTATTATTCGTATAAACCATGAATGACAATGGCCCAAATTAATTGTGAACTGCACAAATTAACTCTCAGATTTTCCTAATTTCATTGAATTGGACTCAACGACGCAATCAAATTATTCTTATCAAGTTCCCTCTATGAACTGCATGATAGAGATACATATCAAAGATCATTAAGTTCTATGAAAATCATAAGCATTAACATGACATTCGTAACTATGAACTACATGATATTCCTACCATGGATTTACTTAACACGATTATGACTAGCAACCTCCACTACTTATAAATACAAGTTCATAACGATTAGGTGAAATTCCCTTATATTTTAGCATCAAATTCATGCATGCAAACTAAGTATGCATCCTTAATCAACATACAAAAATAAGTTATCAATCAAACAGATAAGTAAATCGCATTCATGTTTTACGAAACAATGACTGGAGGAAATCAATTCATATCACATATATGTTCATGGCTTTGAATTCCACTCTAGCTACAACGAATTTAGTTCCTCATGTTCGCACTTAAACAAAGATAACTTAAATTAAACATTGAAAACAAAAGATAGAATACACCTAAGAACATTCCAGCAATCTAAGATTGAATGGCAGGGCACGGCTCCAAGGGTTTCCTCTCCTTTCTCCTTGCAAGGTTGCGGCACAAGAGAGATTTCTGTGTATGATGGATGTGTGGTGCGAATTGTGGTGAGAGATGGGTCCTTTATGGTTGCTGCGGCACAAGGAGAAGGGAAGGCATGGAAAAGGCTGAGAAGGAGGGGAATTAGGATTCCAAATCAACAAGGAAAAATGACACTTCTCATTCAGATTCCAGGGAGGAAAAGGAATGGTCCTTGCGGTAGGAAACATGGCTTCTAGAAGGGATGTATGCGGCATAGATTTAGGGATAGGGCTTTGGCTTCTAGAAACCTGATTTGTAAGTATCCTAATGTCATTTAGATGTCCTCCTTACAGCTGGAATTAAGGTGGGATAAGATTAGGATAGGATAAGATAATGTTGAGATAAAACAGGAACGGATAAGGTTTTGGATAATGTTCCCTCCTTTTAGCTAATTTCCTATCTTCCAAGTCTTGAATTAATTTCTTCAACTCTTGAGCACATTCCTAGCCTTTTTTAATCTTCAAAAACGTCCATCTACCTTGCTCCATGCATGTGTTATCGATTCCAAGCCCAAAACTGCTCTAAAATGCTCCAAATTGCACTTTCTTGCCAACTTTGTCATTTGAACCTGAAAACACACGAAAATAGTTTAAAACACTCTAATAAGTAGAAATTAGCTATGTAAATATAAGAAAACAAGCTAACTAAGTCGCATAAATATGCTCCTATTAGTTTCTTAGGAATCCTGGTATTTCTCTCAACAAGCTATTGTACGAAAGATCAATAGTGGTCAGATTTTTCAGATGCCAAGGACCGTTGAAAGGGAAGGCACTAAAATTGTTTGAAGAAAGAGAGAGTTGCTCAAACCCCTGAAAATCAAAGATAGACATAGGAACTGGACCTTCCAAATTATTAAGACTCAAATCAAGGGTAACTAAGTTGGAAGAGATGTTAGAAAACTCTTTGAGTTGAGCAAAGAATCGATTGTTGAAAAGTACTAGTTTTGCCAACAAGGGAAGAGAAAAGAAAGATAATGGAATACTCCCCTTGAGCAGATTGTCGACCAAATGAAGATCTACTAGATTAATAAGGTTTTCCCACCGCATAGAACTAATTGGACCATTAAACATGTTACAATACATGTCCAAATAAACGAATTGTGTTAGGTTCTCCATTGATTTTGGAATTGATCTAGTGAAACTGCAGTTTAAAAGATCAATTCTCTCCAAATACTTGAGGTTTCCAATAGAGCCTAGCAATAACCCTGAAAAATTTGTGAAGCTTAGAACTAAGGACTGAAGAGATCCATTGTTTGGAACTTCAAGCATAAGTGTGGTACAATGCGAAAAAAAAAAAAAAAATCATTCAACTGCTGGGAATATTGGAATGTTGTCAAAGATTGTCCCAAGTACAAAATTGTGCCAATCGGTCCAGAAGTTGTCATGCATGGCATCCCTATACCCTTTGCCAGAAGTAGACTCGCACCAACATGAAGACAACACATTTGAAGTGTTAGAAGCGACCCTTAAAAGAGTGCCAAAACCAACTTGCATTCACAAAGGCCTCAAGGTAAAAAGGCTGCAAAGAAAAAAAAGAGTTCTTCTATAAGTAAGTATACATAATATATGGAAGAACTTGCTCACCCAAGTGAACTGAATTTGGCGTTGAACCTGGCTAGAGATGAGGCTTAAGCTGCAAATATGCAAGCAATCTTAGCGGCTACTAAGAGACATGATGCGGCTAATGAAAGACAAAGGGAACCACTTAGCCAAGAAAGGGAGATGCTTAAAGAAGAAAGGATGGCTCAACAAGATAATGACACTATGAACAAGCCTCTAGAAGGAATGTTGATAGGAGCATATTTAGGCGACTTAACTAGCTTATTCTTGTGCATTTATGCTATTATTTCTTAGTTAATGTCGCATTACAACTCAATTTCGTGTGTTTGTAGGACCTATGGGGTAAAGTATCAAGAAAGGGCATTTTGGTGCATTTTGGAGCAATTTTGGACACTATGTGGATAGCTTACATTTGGGCTAACATGGATGGACGAATTTTGACTTCAAGAGGCTAGAAATGTGATAAGAAGAGGAAGGAATAAGCTTGGGACAAAGTGGATAAGGTTTTAGTGTCAAAGTATGCAAAAAGAAGCAATTTGGAGCATTTTAGAGCATTTTTGGGCCAGGATTGGATAGTGCAAGCATGGAGGCATGAGGATGGACGAACTTGAAGGCCTGAATTCAGTTAGGGAGCTGCAAGGGGGCCTAAAAACCTTATTTCTAGAAGGCTTTATCTATTCACACATGGTGCCTAATTTCTGTATTGGAAGAACTAACCGTCCTACCTTGTCTCCAAGTCGTCCTACCTTGTCTCCTAGCCGTCCTATCTTGTCTCCTAGCCGTCCTACCTTGTCTCCTACCTTGTCCAAGCCGTCCTAGCTTGTCACTAGCCGTCCTACCTTGTCTCCTAGCCGTCCTATCTTGTCTCATAGCCGTCCTATCTTGTCTCCTAGTCGTCCTACCTTGTCTCCTACCTTGTCCAAGCCATCCTAGCTTGTCACTAGCCGTCCTACCTTGTCTCCTACCTTGTCCAAGCCGTCCTACATTGTCCAAGCTACACACTTGTATCCCTTAAGTGTTTCATGTATATATATCCTTGTAATCTTGAAAGGGAGGAGAAAAAACATTCTCTTCCATATTTTCCACATTCTGCCTAAATTCTAGTACAAAACCTTTTGGTTTCAACTAAGTTCTAAACCTTTCCTAGCCCTATAAATAAGGCTTTGCAGCAAGGCACTAGGGGGATCACTCATTCACCCAATTTTCGTCCATTCATCTAGCCATACCACTCTACACATCCATACACTTCTGCCGCACCCTTCCCCACCATAATCAACCATCCTCCATCCCTCTAAACAAGGAAAAACCATCCAAAACCACCAATTCCAGCACCTACACTTTGTGCCGCAGCAAGGAGGAGGAAGAGGAGCCAATCTGTGCATCGAATCCATCTTGGAATTGCTGAGCATTTAGGTGTAATCTTTCTTATGATTTCAATGTTTAAATTCAATACTTTTTGTTGTGCAAGCATGAGGAACTAATCCCCCCTTTGGCTAGGGGGGAATTTCGAAACCATGGTTGTATTTGCATGATGATTTGATTACTTTCAGTTGTGATTTCATGAATGTTGAATTCAATTTGCTTATCTATTTTAATTAAAACTTGCTTATGTATATGAATTGAGAGTGCACGCTTGATTTGCATGCATAAACATGATGCTAGGGTATGAGGGAACTTCACCTAATCGTTGGGAACTTATATTCATGAGTAGTTAAGATTGTTGGTCACAATTATGATAAGTGAATTCTTGGCATAAGTATCATGCGCTTTCATAGTTACGAATGCCTCGTCAACACCTATGATTTCCATAGAATCTAATGATCTTTGATTGTCTTTCTTTTATGCGCTTTCATATAGAAAACTTTTGAGGAATAATTTGATTGCAATGCGCCAATTCCATTCAATTCAATGACCTAAGGGAAATCTAAGAGTTAATTTAAGCGTACCTAATTAACTTGGGGTGTTGAGGTTCATGAATTCATTGATTAAGCAACTGGAAATTGTATTATGTGCAAGTATGCCATGTGTGGAGAAAAACCTCCTAGCCATCTCACCATCCACTTAATTCCATCAAATTCGTCCAAATCTGCCTAGTTTAATTTCTTGTTTTGTTTTGTTTATTTTCGTCCAAAACCAAATCCCCATTTATTCTAGAGTGTCTAATTGGTCCAAATATGTTTTAGATTGTGTTTTTGAGCGTTTTGAGTCAAGTTAGAACCAATTTTCGTTCAAATTTGTGTTTAGGCTCAAAACTGCCCAGATTGTGTTTTTAAGGCAGTTTTGAGTGTCTTTAGCCTATTTTGAGTCTTGTGAACGTGTTTGAGTCTTTTTACGTGAGTTTAAGTGTTTGAAAGGTTAATTTTATTTATTTGAGTCAGTTTAGAGTGTTTAGCAAGCCCTCCTAATCCCTGGTGTAAGAACGATCCCTACTTATTTATATGCTACAATTGTC